CCTATGAACTATAGCGAAATATTGCTTCTGTTGTAAATTCTACACGTGCAATTAGCTGGAAATCAAATTTCTTGTATGTGAAATTTATAGCCACATCAATTTTAGTACCATAACTTCACTGTAACTTACTTGATAGAGTAGCTTATAAAACCTAAACCTATTACACATAATTACCTTCACTGAATTCCTCATAATTGTATAGTTTCTATTTTGTCTCGATACTTAAATAATAAATCATGCTGGAAATGCGAATTACTTTGAATCATCTACAGCTGAATAAAAAATAGATGTTACATCCTATAGAAAGTAGCCATCCGTAGCCATGCACTATATTTAAAAAACAGTACTGAAACCGCTTCGTGTTTAATTTCTTCAAATGAAATAGACGAGAAAGTGAAGATATCAACTGGTCAGATCTGGGTGGCGTTGCTTTACTTAAACATGAGATTTGTGCCTGTAAATCTTCCAGTTTTAAATTCAAATCGCTAGGTGAAAGTTCATTGGTGCATACCCAGTTGTTTTCTTCCAAACAACAGCTTAACTGAATTGCTGAATCACAGGATGCTTGTTAGTTTCAGAAGGTATTGTTCGAATTTCGAACGGACAGCTCCGATTGTCTTACAACATTAACGTCATTGTTATCGTAAATTTATTGCTCGTAAAAGCTAGAAAGTAACCGGGCGATCTGTACTCGGATAAAGACCGAATATATAATGGAAAATGGAAAGAAATTGTTTATGGCTGACAGATATTTTGGAGAGAGTGGGATTAAACTACTGCTATCAAAATTGTCGGTGTCCACGTGACACGAAGTTTGTTCGGTCCAGTGCATTGCTTCAAATGTAAGGTGTTCCCCGGGGTCCAACATTGAAACCACTCGCGCGAAAAAACGTTTCCTAACGACATTATTATGTGAAACTCAGGTGGTTTATAAGGAAAATAACAAGAGAGTGCAAATAAAACTATTTTCTTAGGTGATTACTGATAAAATTATACACTGATTTCTGTCAGCTGTTATTAGTAGCAAATATTGCATGTCTGTGTTTACAAAACATGTTTTATGCGAGTTCACTCAGCCTCAGCCTAGTTATTATTGCATGAGCTCAATGTCAACGCATGACCTTAGGTGCTGTAATAAAAGAATATCAATACGTGTTTGCACAGCATAGCGGTGTATATAGGGTTGCCTAGGTCAATCACCAGTACAGGCTATAAGTAATAAAGTCGAATAATAGTAGGTATATAGTCGCTGACTAATATTAACTACAGATACGATTGGATAATCTAATAACGATGTTACTAAATGCTATTATTTCTAAAATAAACACGTTTTGATCCAGATCGTCAGTTAAAAACTTGGTTAAATTATAATTAGACAATAGAAATATCAAGAGTGACAGGGAAGCTGTAGTTCTTTTTAATTCAATACATATAAACATTTATTTTCCTTTGGAAAAGAATTGATATCCTAACAAATTGTGCAGAACATGCCAAACCAGAAATTTCAACGAGTTGACCAACGTCTAAGAGAGAATGGTGGGCGATTCCAGTTAATAAGGTAATATATATTGACTTTCTTCATATTTGTAGGAAAATTTGAAAAAAATAGTACTGGTGCTGGTCTAAGAACCGTATGTACGCCGCAATTACAAGTAAAATGTTTCTAATATTGTAATAAATATGTATGTAATACAATTTTTGATCATGTTATTGTTTCATTGAATATTCATCGATTCTCTGAGATAATACCTCCGTATTTTCCGTTTTCAGGACGAGCGAGCTGATAGCCCTCATGGCGCTCTCGGCCACGTTATTCTTGTTCATCCACACCAGAGACTTGAATACGAAGCTGAAGGAGATGGAGGTGAAGCTACAACCAGACGACATGGTGTCGGCAAATCAACTGGTTTCAGGTAGGAAGCGTTGTTGATAGTTAGACGAGTTCCTGAAATATTTCCCTGCTGAAAATATGTTCAACTTGTTTACGTCTCAAATCGCGAATAAAATATTAATTTAAATTTGTGCGAGTGTTGGTTAGCGGCGAAAATAAACTGTTACTGAGTTGATTAACCTTAGGCGGCCTTGAGTTAAATAATAAACGTCCTCAGTGGATTAAAACATGAAATTAAATTTACAATATCCCGAATATTTGCTGAAGCCGAACAAACGCAAGTAGCTTTGCTACGCATTAATTTTTATTTCAATGTGACGTCTGTCTAAGATTGTCTAACTTTCCAATTAATAGAAAATCATCTTACCACATCTATAGGATTTAAAAAAAGGCAAGGAATGTCTTGGAAAACAAAGATTCGGTGCCTTTCTACCAATAACAAAGTTATAAATCTTCTAAAATAATGAGCCTCTTACTTTATTAGAATTGCATAATATCTCAAAGTGGTTTAAAATTATTAAAACGAGTTTACCTCCTACCAAAATTAACAAACCTTATAAATGAAAGCTAATAGTATCTTATTAAAGTTGTATAAAAACAAAAAAGTGAGAATGATTGTCAAAAAAATATAAAGTAACATGTCATAGAGGTACCAATATAAAATTTAATCAAGAATTTCTGTTAAAAATACGTTCCCAACCTAACCTCATCTACCCTAATATATAAGCGTAATATAAGCCAACATAAAATATCACACGAACAAAACACATCAGAAAATCTTGATTGATCAAAACCTCCAAAAATATACAGTTTTAGCATGACCTTTACCAAGCTATCTACGTAACAAAAACTGACAAATTAATTTCATCTGCTCCCACTATACTAAATAGACTGTTAATACATTGTTTTTAAGGAGGTAAATGTACAGTTATTACATTTAGTAACATTTATAAAATCTGGATAATTATTCCCCTCGCGTTTACTAATTGTCACATTTTTCTCAAAATGATTTGACCACTCCATTTCAGTCACCGGAAGCTCAATATTATGGAGTTGTAGTATTATTGTAAAGAATCCTGTTGGCTATTTCATGTTTGTTACTTAAACCGTCAGCCATAACTTTCTGCAATTGTGGCTGATTTCCACCCACCATGTCTCATGATTGTTAATACATCAACTCCTGCATTAGCCAGTAACGTTGTCGATGTTCTTCGGAATGAATGGCCTGTATATGTTTCAGGATGTTCTAGTTTCAAAAACTGTGCAATCTTATTAGGAATCATAGAAAGGGTATTATTGCCGACTGGTTGGTTGTAAAGAACTGTTATACACCACGCAACAGTTAAGTATAATTTCCAGTCTAAGACTCTATTGCCAGCCCTCGCTCGCTCCGCTCGGGCGCAAAATCTTCCTCGACTGGTAAATAATATTTACTTCCTTTATGGTGTAAATAACTATTTAATACTACCACATACATTTAAAAATAAACCTAAAAAGTATTTATGAATATTGGAAGTTTAAGGTATAGTGAAAAAACTAATACCGCTTTTTCTGTAACTGTTAACTATTTCATTTTAATGTAATAATAGCTTGCATTAATGGCAGATGTTAAAAAGTTATAACCGCAAGAAAAATATAAGAAAGTTTTAAAGATGCTGGGCACAAAAAATTTACAGTTTTTGTAACAATTCCATATTTTTATACTTTTAGGTATAATTTAATGTTCAGATGACTTTGATGCGTCCATCTGTCTTCCATGTGCATCTGTCGCAAGAGATTCTGCAATTTCTATTGTAACCTACTGATCCAGTTAATAAAAAGGGTCATTATTGCTGTCTGGCCAATATAGCTGTAGCAGTAAATGTCTACTTTATTTATCATTAAATCTCTGTTAACTGGTTTTCCTTCTGTTGGGGTTTGCAAAAATCAGAATATGGAAAATTTGTCTTCGTCATGGACTAAGAATACCGGTTTCAAAAGACAGTTAAACGTACATAAATATAAATATTAATAATAATATTGAATCAACTTATAACTTATCCTCAATCCACCTCCAATTTAACAGGGACTTACAATTTTTTATTGCATTTTAAAAGAGCAACTAACTGTATTACATATGCAGTTTATATAACTTATTAAAAAATGTTTTAAGCACAATTTGGTAGTTGCAATGCTCCGGGATGATAGGAACACACACCCTTTTCCTATAGTAACTTCAAACATCAAAGGTAAATCAATAAAAAGCGACAACAAAAAATGGCAAGCGCTGTTTCTTTTCTGTAATAAAATCCACTGAGTTGTAAAAGATGCCATAAAAAAATCAATGCGGTCAAAGAACTCATGAACCTCTAATTTCGCAGAAGCCGAAGTATCAAGGAAAATAAACTCACAAGATGGCACTTACACAAGGAGTGTTATGAACAAAAATATGTTAAAACAAACAAAAAACATTTTATCGGCTTTTAAAATAACACAATTATCATTAGATAAAGTTTGAAACAATAATTATATTATTTCATACACTATTCAGTAAATTGAATGTATTTCCAGGTGACTCAGGGGTAGGAGGACCTTCTGGAGTCAGAGCCATGATGAAGTTGTTGCAAAGCACGGGGCAGGTAATAATTTTGTTAATTAAAACTTATTTTCTCCTTCTACAGTGCTATCTCAAGATAGTTTATATTTTTTATTACACAACGTTTTCTTGTAAGTGACCCCACTCTTTTTGTTCATCATAGATGATTTTACCGACCAAATAAAATGTTTAACTGATGAATCTGTGGGGAACGACTATTCCGCGGAACTAGGGGCAATAAATTACAGCCGCAATATCCAGATCGCTCGTCAATAGAACCACCAGACACATAGCGATCACGACCTTATTATTATTATTACTTTCATCAATAGGATGATTGATCCAGTAATTTTGTTATTTATCTATCGACATCGTTTAAGTACGGGCGAGGTATTGCATAGAAAATTTTAGGCGTGGATAATAATGTAAGCCAAAGTCCAGTTTTTCTTGTCGCGCTATATTTATAAATGCAATGTAAACATTTTGTCACAATTTGCGTGTAAAATAAACACATCGTTAAACGTTATGCTCCAGTTCATTATCTTCAGCATTAAATCATCATCCGGACAACGACGGTGGAAATTATTTAAATTTCACGGATCAGAAAGACGAGTTAAAATTTTTTTAATATGATTTCAACAAATAACGGCTAGGGAACGTTAAAAATAAAGTTATTGTCGCTTTGATTGATTTCACGATTGATTTCACGGGAAACAACTTCTCTACGGGCTAATGCCCCGATCAGCATAGAACTACACCCACAATATCTGGATATTTCATCGCGGAAGCCTCCAGACATATACCGGTCCCGAACTGAATTGCGTGTGTTACAGATGACGACTCTGGAACCCTACCAGTTAAACAACACGAGGAAAGCTAAGCAGGAGATCGTGTTCTTCAATCGGGTCCCCAAAGTTGGGTCCCAAACGTTGATGGAGTTGCTGCGGAGGCTGAGCATCAGGAACCAGTACGGTTTCCATCAGGACCGCGTACAGAGGGTGGAAACCATCAGGCTGGCACCGGAGGACCAGGCGGCTCTGTCGGCCTTGGTTTCCAGCTACGAGCCCCCAGGGGTCTACATCAAGCACGTCTGCTTCACAAATGTGTCTCAGTAAGTGTTATTTTGTGTATACTGTATAGTTGAGAATTTCATAAGCAGTTTATTGCAAGAATTCTACTTCATGTGGAAGATATTTATTTCATAATACCGCATTTAAGTGGTACAATAAGACTCACCTCACCTACGGATAAAATTTTATCACTGAAGTGCAAAAATGGGCACAGAAATACACCTTAAACGCCCATGTACCACGAGTAAAAGTTGCTACAAATGTAGCTCTGCCACGCATATGATTACATAATTGCATAACTATATTATCCTGGAATTTATTATTGATAAACGTTTTCTACCATTTCCTGAATTCTGAATAGCGTCAATTACATATCAACCTGTTTTCCAATGTGGGTGGTTACATAAAACTTTCTTCGTCGTTTTTAAAGTTAAACCACACACCTGAATTAAGCCGGGTTCAGATGAAGCACTCACATGCCAAATATTCGCCAAACGTAAACAAATGTCGCATCGTGTAGGTGGAAATTTTGTGTAATGTGTCCTTCATTTCGCATATTGTTCCCTCAATATGTTCAACCAGCTTAGGCGTTTGGCAAGCGATTTTTAGAAGGATTTTCTGCGGGATTAAAGACATTAGCTAATGACGACATTATCTGGAGCTGGCTTCAGATTCTTTTTTTATATACTCTCTTATAAAAAAGCATAAAGTTTGTCTACATTTCAGATTCGGACTGCCGGAACCTATATACATTAACCTGGTTAGGGACCCCATAGAGCGTGTCATATCTTGGTACTATTACGTTCGAGCCCCATGGTACTATGTGGAGAGGAAGATGGCATTCCCGGACATACCTCTGCCGGATCCCAAATGGTTGAAGAAGGTGAGTACTATTTTCCTTCCTTGTAGATGCAGCAAAGGAAAAAATTACATTGCTATTCCTAAATGCACAAGAAAATAATGTATTATACAGGGCGTTTATGAAATATAGCGCCAGAAATATTGTGCCAGAAACACATTTTTTCTTAAATTAGTTCAAAATATATTTAAATTACCGATTTTAATAGTTCATGATTAATTAATGTTGTTGTTGATGTTAATTATTGTTTACCAAAAACATATTTTTCTCAATACATGAACTATTTATTATGTTAATTTTCATATGCTGTTAGCAGCCGATATTATTAATTAAATCGATATGAATAACATCAATACGGAGATAAAGAGAAAAGTTCTTATACTGGTTATATTTCTAGGCAAAGAACTTTTAGGTCAGAAATTTCCAATATTAATATTTACATGAATCAGTGTATTTTTATCTACAAAATGTCAATAGGCAGAATTCGAATATTTAAATGTTGATAATATATACTATATACAGGGTGTCGCATTAAGTTCGTCGAGGCACGATATTAGGAAACGCATTTTGTTTCGGTAATTAAATGTCTTTTCGTTAGCGTCGTGTTCTTCAATTCATTATTATTATTTATTTTTTCAAAAACACGTGAAACAACCTAAAAATGGATAAATAGCGCCAATAAATACACAATTTTCTTAAAACTTTCAAACTTATACTATATTCATTATTTTTTTGTGCTGAATTCAATTGTGTAAAGAAAAATAAAGCATTGCATTTAAAATTTTTGAGAAAAATCCATAAAACGGCATTCATTTGAAATAACGCCATCTCTAGGTTTCCATGTGAGATAAGTGACCTTACGATTCACCACGAGATAAAGCATGAAAAGACCTTTCCAACGAGGTATAACACCATGGGCTTTTGATGAGCCAATGCTTTAAAAAAATGCATTTCTCTGATCAGACATTAGGGGCTTCCCCCACCCTTTCTGTCGATAGTACAAAATGTCAATAATAAAAGTTATGGGCAATGAATCTGGCTATCGATATTTGTACTATTTAATATACATGAATAGGAAACATTTCTGATAAAAATTCAACTCTATGTTTTAGTATGTAGATTGCGCACCCTAGCAGCCGAGCTACGAACATAAAAACTATTTCCAGCGATTTCTCTTGGTCGATTTATTCATCAAAATTTTATTTCTCGATATTTGTCATTTTTTGGTACACTCTGTATATGTATAACCGGTAAAAATGATCCATACTTCGAGTATTTTATGGACTTCAAACCTAAATTATTTTAAAGTTACTACCAATTCGTTTATGTAAGTAACACATCGTTAGCAGCATAATTGTTTACTTAGTTATGTAAAAGTAGGCGCGAAATCGGTGTTCCTTTAAACTCGACGCCAAATTACCATATAAATTAAGTTAATTATTTATTACGTAGTTATTTTGTTTATTAAAGTAACTACAGCACTTAAAAACAGCTTTCCGTATTAAAATGTAATTTATGCGGTAATATAGAGCCCCCATATGTGTTTAAAGTGAGAAAAATAGACATGTAAAAAACGCTTTGTTTGTTTAAAAAAATTAAATTAAAACGCATTTCCCTGCCTATATGTCTATGCCTTGATTAGAGTCTCGTTGGTGACGTCACTTACGAGTAGACACATCATACCCCCAGCACGTTACTATTTAATAGTTTACTAAAAGCAATAATTCTTTTTCGTCGTGTTTCATCGTGGCAATTTGTCCTTTTAGGATTTCGAGCACTGCGTGCTATCAGGTGACAGAGAATGCAAATATCTGACAGGGGAGATCAGGGAAGGAATCGGTGACCACAGGCGCCAGTCCATGTTCTTCTGCGGCCACCACGCTGACTGCTTGCCCTTCAACACAGACGGGGCCCTCGAGAGGGCGAAGAGGGCTGTTGAAGAACACTACGCCGTCGTCGGGGTGCTGGAAGAAATGAACACGACGCTGAAGGTTTTAGAGAACTACGTTCCTCGGTTCTTCGAAGGCGCCTCGGATATTTATTGGAGTAAGTGCTATAAGGTCATTGTTTTAGATAGTCTGATTTATTCCGAACAAATTTAATCTCTTCTGTTTTTATCGTAAATGTAATAGTTTTTGAGAAAAAAAGTAATACACACAGTAAATGGCCACTTCCCATCATCACAAAGAACAATCGCCTACTACTAAATTGTCTAATGCTATTATTTGTTACAATCTACACCAAGATAGTGTTGATTATAACACATCGACAAGTGATTGTAACAGGTCATAAAAATTATCTAGTAATGCTTATTTCCAGATACCATTCTTAATAACAAACAATAACGAGTTCCTAAAACATAGTTGCAGTTAAATATTAAATTTTACTCAGGTCTTGAACTTTTTAAATTATGTGATACCTAACGTTTTGTTGTAACTGTTGTTTATTTACTCCTACTTATTACTTCTTTAGAATTAATGCTATCTCGTCATTAAGAATATTTCAAATAAGACATTATTAGATACCTTTGAAAATTTGTTACAATTACGCCTTGATGTGTTACAATCAACATTATCCATGTGGAGATTATAACAAATAACAAAATTAGTTGATTTAAGATCAAACTTACACATGGCAAGCAGGTCTATAAGTCTCATAAGATTTACAATTGTTGTGTTACAATAACATTGTCTTGTGTAGATTGTAACAAGTAAGAATACTGGTAGTGTTTATTTTTTTATTAACTTTTCCTTTTTCATAATCTACGTCAAATTTAGATTTAATAAGCATGTACACATGTAAGATACAATTGATATATTACAGTCAACACTGTCAAGTCAATAGTAACCAACACACTAGTTCGATAATTTTTTTTTAATTTTTTTATTAGTTGAGACCAAATTTAGATTTGGAGACAGGTTTCACACGACCTTCAATTAATGTGTTACAATCAACACTAAGTCGGCATAGATTGTAACAAATAATGAGATTAGTTAAATTTATTTTTTTGGAGACTTATTTTTATTTTTCTGATAAAACTTACAACAAAAGACGATCAGTTGTTTTTGTTACAATTGACACTAGTGGGAACACTATCTTGTTCTGAGCAGAAAACAATGAAAAACCTGTATTATTCAAGGCTTACCTTGTTTAATTTTTCAAATTATGCCTATTTTCCTTTTCAGATGAAATAAGCCGATATAACCCGATCAACAAAAACTCGTTCAAGCCGCCTGTTAGCGAAGATGTAAAAGAAATAGTGAGAAGAAACTTCTCGAAAGAGATCGAATTTTACGAATTCTGCAAACAACGGCTGCACAAACAGTACTTAGCTCTGAAGCTTCCGGAGAAGCCATAGTAAGGGTAATATTAATTGACGATATAAGACTTTCTGTGTAAAATATCTATTGGAAAATATTTGCAATCTACTTTTGGTAAACTTTTAAGTTAAGGTATGATTGCAGTTTCCTGATTTGCCGATGGAGTCAGTTTTTAATTGTTTTGAGTATCTATTACTGTTAATTTTAACTTGAATATAAGGGAATGTCGTTTGTTTTATTTTCTCTACTTTAATTATTGAATATCTGTTTCCTGGAGACTTTGCTTGCTTTTAATTTTTCTGTAAATACATCAAATATTTATGAAAGTAAAAGTTTTTAGGTTTCTGTTTGTGCGTGGCCAGCCATTTTTGTAAAAACAGCAAAAACGTAAAAAAGGCTACATTTGTAAAAAAGACTGGGTGCAGGGATAAGGTATAAGGTATTCAGCAAAAAAACACTGTTGTATGTCACTTGAGTTTTTACGACGATTATAGAGAGTTAAACAACCAGTCAAACTAATGAAAATACTAGATGGCGACACTTATGAAAAATTCTTGGTAATCTTACGAGGTGATACGGATTTTGCGGGAGAGTCGCCATCTAGCGTTTTTATGCCTAAGTTTGACTAGTTGCTAGCTATATTATAGTGTTTTGGAAAAAGGTACTTTTTCGAAAACATCACGCATGTGAACAGGGGTTATGGTTTAAAAAATAAAACAAAAATTCGACTCAGAAAATTACTTAGAACAGAGAATAAACTTGAAAATGTAGCATGAAAAGATTTCCACTCTTTGTAATCCCTCTAAGGGTCCCAATTGTTATAGGTACTTTGATTATTTTCATTTTCATCATTTTTCATCAAGACGTATCTTTTGCAAAAACCATGTAAATTATTGTGATGTATCGTAGTATTACTATAATTTAAACATTTTTATATTTATTTTTTACGAATTGTGTTAAGTATTTAAGCTTGTGTATATTGTACCTCATCGTGTATGCTTATGGATAAGTGTAATTGATGCCTAGAGCTATATAAGTAAGGCTGACTAATAAAAAAACTATTCAATTCAAATATTCTTTGCCTGAGCCCTAAATTCCTCAGTATTCCTCTAAAATAAAGGGTAAGTAGGAAGAAATCTATAAAAATGTTCCATAATAATAGAAAGAATCTATACAAGATGTTTATTCAGAACGGAAAAGCGTATTGAAAGATTTCAGCCAAAAAAAATTATGCTTAAAACAGAATTTTTGCTTACTCTGCAAAACCACTGGACAAATAATGTTTAAAATGGGATACTCTTAAAAATATAACCTGGAAAAAGTATTCTTACTGACGAAGAGAATTAATCACATTTAAACAAATACTATGTGCCCAATTGTCAGCTTATTTACTTTTTTTTCGGTCAAAAACCTGTGACTATTAAAGTGTTCTTCTTTTGATTTATAGATCTATCTATATTTGGATACTTGGTCTGGATGTTTTGCAAACACTCGATTCAAGCGTGCTTAGGAACGGCGCCCAACCATACTTTTTACAATGAAATTTACATATGGGCATGGAAAAAATATTCAAGTCGATAATAAACTTTTATGGGACATTTTGATCCAGTGCCAATACAATCACATGAAGCCAGCAAATCAAATGATGCGGACTAATATTTTGTCAATTCTTAGATATACATGAATTTTTTATACAAATCTACTGAAAATTTCCAAAGACGCTGATCAGATTGCGTATTTTCGTGATGTTTTTGTGACAATAATAAGAAAATCTCAACGATTTCAGTAAATATTAGAGAAAATAAAAATTTGTTTTTGTTTTGCTAACTGCAGTTTTAGTTTCACATTTATTAATAGGAATTTCGTCTATCTTTGCCAAGTTATGCAGGGTGAATTCTAATTTGGGGTTTTAACTCGATGATTTGGGTTTTAAACAATTTACGAAGTCAGTTGAACATGTACAAAAACGCCTAGCAATAAAAATTAATAAGTTTCATTGGCGTACCTAAAAAAGTTTTCTACTGAAGGTAAAAATTATAATAATTTGTATATAATGTCTAGAAAATTTCTGTTATATGTTCATTTGCCCAACAACATTTTAATTATTTATTTCCTCAAACAATTTTATTATATTGATGGTAAATTTCGCTTTGTTCCGTTTCAAAAGGTCTCCAAAATGCCATGTGGTAATATTAGTAAACAAAATATCCCTCTTATTTCTCCCTTTCGCTATTGTAATATGAATGACTAATAGATGGTGCCTATAATAAATTAAAATTACTTGAATCACACCAAATTCCGCATTGCCGCACTGCACTGCTAGGCAACTTGTCAGGGTGGATCTGTCGAAAAATCCCATATATTCTTGGATGCAAGAGAGGGCAAGCTAATTTTTGCTGGAATACCTTCAGTACAACTCACATAATAAAAGTATAGATCCCTAGATCTGGGCGTGGTCCGGAACACTTTTATTATGTGAGTTGTACTGAAGGTAATCTCACCTGAAAACAGATCCGCCCTGGTCTAATATTAAATTAAAATTACCTAAATCATACCAAATCCCGCATTGCTGCGCTGCACTGCTAGGCCATTTGTTGACAACAGAATTTATGGCCAGGTGGCTCAGTGCGGCTGTGTTTGTGCAGCGTTTGCCCGCGCGCTCATTCTTCAACTGGGCGACTAGACCTGTATATGAGTAGGGCTAAATAAAAATGGAAACAAGTTTTTCAAATATTTTAATGCAGAGTTGCTGAGATCGGAAAGACTATACATTTTATACTTACGGTGTTTAAAGTGGCACCTATTGACAGCAGTGATTAATAAATTTAAATGATGTATGTATATGGGGAATGTCGCCAAAATGTTGCCATAGCATCGCGATTGTACGAGTCTCTGGAAATTCATACCACAACTCGTGTGTTCTTTTATATTCTTCAAAGGGTTTGAGCGATAGCTTGCGTGAAGGAAAGATTGAATCTTTACACAAGTTTTTTATTTTCGCTTGTTCCTAAGTACTTACCTTATGCTTTCCACCCTTTTTGGACTCTTGTAGATTCATTATAAAGACGAGACGGCTGTGAAGAGAAAAAGAAGACGGGAAGGTGTAAAAGAACACAAGACATTTGAAAAAAGATATATTTTACACGTTTATACAAATTATTTCTCCAAATACAGGTACTGAAAAATACAACACCTTTATAACCATCATAATTTCAGTCTTATTCATTTCATTAGATAAGTTTGCCTCTTCTGTTGATAAATTGCCTTCTGTCTAAAAAACATCGAGATATAATAAAATTTAGCTCTATAAATATACTCTATATTACAGTTATGTCCTTAGGATAGGATCTACTAGATAAGTAAAACAAAAATCATTCCTACGTTTCGGTAGCGTCAACTTAATACAAATTTTAGTCCAGTTGCACAAAATAACAGACAGTGAAGCTTTTTTCGTACAGGTGGACCTCGAATTAGGGATTCATTGAAATGGAGTTGCAAAGCTTTAATCGCTTCCAATGTGGTTAAAAAGTTTTTTTGGGACATTTCTCAAAGGAGATTCACTGAAAGATGTTGATTTTTTTTAATAAAAAAAGTGTAAGATAAAGCAACGCGTTTTGTTTATCTTAGACAGTTTTTAAGGGTAGTGGAATCCATATTATAAAATATTTTGAGACTAGCCTTCCCAAAAGCATTTTACCTTTCTTGGTTCTGCTTTCGATCTTCAGTCAAAACCTGTAGCTCCGCTTCAACGACGCCCTGTGTAACAAATATTAATAAACGCAGCTGCCGTAAGCGGTCCGCCAATACAAATATACATATGGCACAAGTATTACGTCTAAATATATCAATAAAGTGAAGTTACAATTGATATTAATAGGAAGGACGTGATCGTATGTCAACTGAGTTGATAAGGACTTACAGCTAATTTTTAATTTACTCAAATTGACTAATCGGTATATAATAACACAGAGATTGCACAATTACCACAAACGATATCAATTACAGGATCAGATCGAATTTTTAAACTACCAATTTAAATATATAGAATAGCATAGTAAACATTTTTGGTATTCCAGGCTAAAAACGTACTTTTCTACTTATTATTACATATTCGTTTGATATTTTGTCCCTACAGTGTGGCCTTTGAAGAACCGAGACTGTTCTAACTCTTTTTGTACATTGCAGCCTTGTAGATCAACTTTTTGAGACAACTATAGTGATGGCATTTTTTACAAGTGATTTTCCGAAAATTACTCTAGGTTTTTTTATTGAAAATCTGATACATAGCACCGTTATACAACATAAATGAGGATTTGGATAAAATTAGACGAGGTTAATATATTGCAACCGGTTGCGAATTTCTCAGAATGCCTTTTGGTTTGAAAAATGCACTTTAGACGTTCCAAAGAACAACGGATTATGGTCTATCTGGTTTACATAATAGATTAGTATTTCAATATCTTCGTAAGGGCATAAAATTAACTTTCGACTGATTTAAGCACACTGATTTAAAAACACAACTAGGCAAATAAGAATTTTTGGAATAAATACAAATGTTGGCGGACTGTCCTATCTTTCTAGAGTGTAGATGTTCTTATAACAAGATATAGAGGTTTGTCTATTAAATGGAAGTGTCAACCAAGTTTACCATTACCTAATTTGGCTATTATATTGGCTAATTTTTTTATCTTCACAGTTCCAGTGCTGCCTATATTTTTAAATTGATGCCGATTAACACTTCGTAGCCAGATTTAAAAAATTCATAGCGATTTTTCGAAAATTAGCTTCTAAGAAATTGCTAGAGAATAATCTCACTGGTTCTAAAAGACTACTGTTTATTTGGTTCTTCACGGGCCACATTGTATACGACAGAAGTCATACGTTAAGTTTAGATTTTATTGCTTCAACAAGAATATACCTGTACACTAAAAAAATATTTCGACATCATCACATCAGCAGGGTTAGTAAAACTTTTGGTACCGAAAAACCGCCATAAACAGTAAAATTGTTACAAAAATATTTGCATTGATGAGATAGAAACTACACGAATCCTATAACGACTTGTACTGATGTATGAGCTCAAAATATTAAACTATAGATCTGTAAGATTCAACAATTTATTGTTCTTTATACTGAGAGTTATCAATTTTTTTTTCGCTTAGAGCATCTATTTTGAAAATCTACTGAGATTTGTCAACTTCCGGTTACTTTCAAGCGCATAGAAGATCTACAAAAATAAATAAATACATGGATATTTGAAAGGTTTAACGGTGTCTCTTTTAGAATATCTCTCATTCGCCTACTTCTACGTTGCTTACCAAGCAGCAGGTATGTAGGAAAGCTGCCAAAATGCCAGTCATCGATCGGGTAATCTAAGTATAGGCAAGTAGACGTGTTTATATTAATCTCACTGTTTATATTACCGTTACAGGATTCAGAAGTTCGGTAAAATTTTCTGTCTGTCGTAAATCAATCGGTCATATCTCGAGGACCCTTTGGAATTTTATCGGGCAGTTTCGCTTAGTCGTTGTTTCTTGCAAATCCTTGGTTAAACTGATTCAAGACGATTCATGGGAGATTTTATAAACGGCATTAATTCGGTTGAATTTCAGTGACACATTATTCTGGTTCCACACAGCCCTGCATTGCACAACCACAAACCACAAGCCAAGTTTAATTTTCCTCTTCTGTTTAAGTGCCATTTTATTTTAAAGAACCAACGTAGTTTATGTGGACAAGCTGACATTAGATGATGAAATTCGCCAAAAATAACCGTTAGATGCTACGGCTGGGTCAATTTTGCGTTTGCAAGACTTGTTGTTTCATGCAACAACGATTTTAGCGATTGGTTCTGGTGTTTGGTTGGCACAAACTACAATTTTATCGACGTTCCAAGACAATGCAGGTCCGTGCGCTTCATACGTAAGCCTACGTTGTATTTCCGCAGTTCTGTAGACGGAAACTTTGTTTATGTACACAACTAAACATACAAGTATAGATAAAATGTATCAACAACATAATAACATTATATCACCATCTATACAAAAAAAAACATAAACCTAGTAAAAGGGTCTGTAAAAATACTACTTCGTGAAATATATCGACTTTTGTAAATACATGAACAGAATTGAGAATACTAAGATTACGAAAACTGTGAGTACGTCGATTTTATTCCCGCGCGGAGCGCGCTCTTTGGTTGCTAACGTGTTTAAAATGTAATCCTGGACGGCCGTGGTGGTCAGGTCGAGTTCAAGATCGACGGGATCGTATTTTTCCACAGCGGTCGCGTCTTCCTTGCTAGATACACAGCTAGATTAGAAGCTTTCTACGGTTGGCAGCAATGCACAACCCTGGCCGAGCTTTTTATTTAACGTCAACCGTTTCACAGAAGCTCCTGGAATAACACATGCTTTTGGAATATAACAACATACTATAGGCGAGCGGTTCACCCCTAAAAAGATGCTTCTAAATGAAGGCAACCGACTAAATTTTTAAAACAAAAACCTACAGCATGAAACTTTTTTTATTTTATAAAGTGCATTTTTCTGATAAAAATGGACCAAATTAAACACTTTTTGTTCTTTGACAAAAATTCGAAAAATGCTTCATTTTCGACATATTTACAAATTTAATGTGAAAAAAGTGGCGAAATCGACAAACTTTCGGATTTTTTTTTTCAAAAACTACTTTTTTTAGAATTAAAATCTGTTCAGTAGTTTTTGAGAAAAAAAAATCCGAAAGCTTATCGATTTCGTCAATTTTTTCACATTAAATTGTAAATATTTCCGAAACAAAGCATTTTTCGAGTTTTTGTCAAAGAACAAAGAGTGTTTATTTTGGTCCATTTTGAAACTGGTTTCAAAGCCATTCGGCCAGTAATTTTTTTTACAACATTTTTGTTTATAACAATTTACTGACCACGCCGAAAAATATAAATAAAATATGAAAATTATCAGAAAAATACACTTCATAAAATAAAAAAAGTTTCGTGTTGTAGGTTTTTGTTTTAAAAATTTAGTCGATTCATGCCTTTTTTTAGGGGTGATCCGCTCGCCTACTAAGGATTCCTTGACATGTACCCGAAAATTCGTTGCTGTAGCTGAAATCAATATCGAAGTCAAGCTGATAATTTTTAATCTACAACTTTCTCGTGTTACTCAAACGGAAGATTTCTTGTCTATTGTCTTGTATGCCACATGTTTAAGTACGTTCTGCTAAAATGGTTCACATTTTCTACATACACTGGGCACAAAAATTAAGGGATATTAAAAAAATCCCAGAAAGAATTAAAAATTAAGGAAATTGAAGCTTTAAGTGTCTAGTTTCCGGATCTGGAGCTTAAAATTTTTAAGCGCAACAAGTTTTGAAGAAACAAAAAAAAAACAAACAAAAAAAAAATTGTTAATTTTTGCTTTTCTTCAAATTTTCTTTTTTTGTAATTTCACCAGAAAGCTCTTTTAGATTATATAATTTTAAACTCCGGATCTGAATACTAGACACTTGAAGCTTCAATTTCCTTTTTTTAATCTCTCTAAGACCATTTCCCTCCAAATTACAGCTCTTTGAAAACCACCAAAAATTTTGCGATTTTTTTAATTAATTTCTGTGCATAGTGTATTATGTATTCTACAACTCCAGTTGAATTAGATTATAAAATCTAAAAACTTGAAAAAATTGTTACTCAGTAGACATTATATTGCACTTTATGACGAGGAAGAATATATAGAATGATAATCTATACGAAAATACGATAATACGAAAATCTAGACGACCTATCGGAAAATTATTTCATTTCATTTTATGTTCTAGGCATTTTTCATTTGTTAACTGTAAAATACAGTCAGGCAATAGCTGCTCGGGAATTCGCTCTTTTTGCATTAAATAGAGCTTATATAATGCCTAATAATAATTTTTTCACGTTCAAACTCTAATTAGACTAGATTATACTAAGAAATCACAGTACGTAACTAGAAAATTCCACATTTTTCAGGGTTTAAAATTTTTACTATAAACATGGAAGAATATAAATTCTTTTTAGCTTCCATGGTAGTTGAAATGATTATACAATTTTCGGATTGGTTGCTTTGCGACGTTTCGAGAGAGACGCGATTCTCTGCCTCAAGAAAAGCTCACAAGAAATCAATCTACAATGTGCCAAACGGGAAAATAAATCTTTTTCAGTATCATCGAAAGATGTGATTCTGGAGTTTATGACGATGGTAAATATTTACTGTTTTTTTAATAATTAAAAAAACAATCGACTGTGCAACTTTTTTTATATACGATTTTTGTTTTAAAGAAGCGACAGGACCCTGCACACGCCGAGATTTAGGTAAAAATATCCATTTGGCGACGATGCACCATCTGTCATTACGTCAGTCCATTCTTTTGGTAAAAATAGTGTGCATATTTTTGAACCTAAAGATCGATGACGTTACAGTGGTTGCTGACGCAACTGTAATTGTAAACAAGCGATTGTTTACAGCATCCACGTCACATCCCGTATAAAGGTCTTTTGATACAGTCAAAAGCTCTCGATTAAAATTTATAATTAAACATTTTTTATTGTTAAATATAAGTAAACACAATAAATTAAGATAAAAAACACATTTTAACGTAGATTCGATAATAGTTATCCATGATTTCTGTCGTCAATGAAATAATTGCGAAAAAATCAAACGGACATCGCCTTTGGAGAATATCAATTTCAAAATAACTAATACGAGTACATGCAAAATAAAAATAAACCTGACTTCATTATTTACATTATGTGGACCACACAAACGCATTTGTTTTTAAGTTAGCTCTTTAAAAATACATTCGTCTTGAGTGTAATTGAAATTAAATAGAATGATTTTAAATTTAGAAACAATAATTCGAGATGCTGAAACGGGCAAAGTTAAAACTACAAAAAACTTTATCATAGGTTGTGTTTGCTACTTCTATTTCGAATCGTTGTCAAGATATTTGGTGGAATGAAGGATAATTGGGATTTTATTGTCACCAATTCTATTCACTTGACAAAATAATATATATTTGCGTGAATGTAATTTAGACCAACGCTCAATGCCAAATCTATTATAAGAGGTCTGCTGTATTGGTAAAAAAACGGCATGTCTAATAGAATATTTGTATATCATACATAAGCAGTGAAAAATTAACCAACTTTTTAAATGAAAACAAATTTTATGTAGCATATAACCAAATATCCGTTAAAGTGAAGTCAAAATGACGGAGAAAGAGAATTTAAAAGAGAATCGATAAAGTATCAATAACATTTTTACGAAAATAAACCGGAAATGTTTGTTTCTCATCCAAACTACATCAAAGCACGCCAATTCAGTAAATACTTTAATGTTTTTGGTAAAATGGACATTTGCTTTTTAATTATACTTTTTGTCACTCAATATTTCAAGTTTGCAACTTCAAACGTAGTAAATATCCAACTGCTACTCGAACTATTGATTGACCTTACTTCAAACTTTTATAGTCGCTATATTCTTGGCTTTTCTCTGTAAAAAAGGCAACAGTTCCATTTAATTTTTCTCGTACGACATGATAGAAATAAATATATCAAAAATCAGGTTACGGAAAATTTGGAACTCGATTAACATTACATAATCTCGTGAAACCTTTTCGACATTGCTTTAACATTGAATTTCATTTTTAATATACCATATTCGTTCGACGTGCTTTTAATTAATTAAAAGATTGTAGCTCGGACGTATCTATTTTAATTGAATTCGTTCGAAGAATAAAGAGTTCTGTTCTATCAGTGAAAAAATGTAACTTTTGGCGTAAGAGACGATATTGGAATAATATTTTGGCGAGGCGTGCCAACTGGCAAGTACACCGCGATAACGAATGAGTTTTAGGATAGGCATTAAAAAAAACACCCACCTTTGTTTTATGTATTTAATGAAAATCACGTGGTTGCTCTGATTTATCGAAAATAATAATAGAGAGACATAATTTCCTGTTAAACTGTAAGCTTGGTGGAAAATACATTCTTAACCATATGTTTTCAGATCGATTTAGAACAGTTTTCTTAATACATTAATACGAAAATGATTATTTCATATGTGATTGCGTGGACTCCCGTAACATATGCTTTTTATGACATTCGGGATACCTTAATCGACAAACAAGCATGTACATCGAAATAAAACTAGAATTTAGGTCAACTCGTGCTTTACATAGCTTTTCCATTAATACATCTTTATAAAAACAAAACTATTTATCCTATTTAAATCCATAAAAATAACCATTTATTGTCTGAGATGGAAGAATTCACGTTAACTACGCCAGAAATTATTGAATCAGCAAAGCAAATAGAGTGTAATTTATTACCAGAAAAATCGAAGAAGATATATCGGCAAACACATAAAAATTTATTGATTACGGGGCTGAGAATAACACTGTCTTTTTCAGAAAATGTACCCCTCTGCCAATTACAAAAACAAAGAAAGTAAGATCTTTTATTGTAAGAGAATTTTTAGACATATATCAGAATTATAGCACCGCAAGACGTACACAGATGGTAACAGATTTTTTAAAATATTCAAATGGTAAATCATATTACCAATTAATAGGAATTCATAGTTGCTGTGTTCAAATTGAAGAATGCTCACGAATATACCGACATTAGGTAAGTTTTGTTATCACCTACTGGTTGCTATGCTACGTTGTTTATTATCAATTATTTAATAAACAGTTCTATCTGAATTTGGTAAAAATGCATGGAAGTAATAAAGTGTGTTGCTGTGGCTGCTTTTGAAGAAGCTCAAGAAGTAATTTTCCATTTATTGCCAGCGAAATCCAGGGAAAATTACGAAAAAGTGTTCGCCGAATTTAACGAATGGAGGGAAAAAACGAAGAGTAATGACAATAAATGAAGAAGTCATGCTATCGTACTGTTTAAATTTGAAGAAAAAATATGCAATTTCATCTATGTGGTCGAAGAATTCGATGTTGAAGGCTGCTATATAGGTCTACAAAAATATAAATATTGGAAAATATAACAAGCTTACTGCTTATTTGAAGAGTGAATCGAGAGGATACAAAGCAAAAAAAGCAGTATTGGAAAGAGCACATATTGAAGAATTTTTTATTGGGGCTTCCAATAAAGAATATTTAATGATTAAGGTGATATCTCTTTATCTTTTACATGTTGTTAGGTATACAGGGTAGGAAAGTCCCCATGGTTCATCAGCCATTACGTGAGAGCGATAAAGAAAGTCATAGAAATCCGTGCGATAGAGAAAGATGGCTATAATGAAGGCGTCTAATAGTCACCG